CGCTTCCCTGATGTAGACCTATTTTCCACCAGGATCGTAGAGAAGTGTCTACTCGCAACCCGCTAGTAAAATACATAACATTGAACGGTTATTTATTTAAGAGAGTATCTGCTGCATTAAAAATATAACGACGCAGAATCTGTACAATTATTAATAGAAAATAAAACAATCATAAGCTAGACAAAAGTAGGGCTTGTAAAATAGAAGACAACCGACTTATCAAAGGGCTAAGATTAGCGATACAGAGTACAAACATATCTCCAAAAGAGAGTTTATAAACGTAGTAGTGTCTAGAAGCTCGGGAGACTAAGACCTTGGATGACCCAAACAAGACATCAGAGATGATGTCGAAGGCTCTACGCAATGATAATCGACGCGGTTTAATTTGGAAAGCTGTTGAGTTGAATTATAATTTTTGTAATTGTATTAATTTTAGCTCTAGGTGTAATTGTATTAACCGCGGAAATCTTTCGGAACATAATATAAACAGTGCTGGGAAATAATCTTTACACAGTGAATAAAACACATAAATCATAATTGTTATTTTAATTTTACAAATTATTACTTTGTCATATCACCATTGTAGTCAATGACAAATTGGATTCCCTTGAGCATGGATTGAGCAAGGTTTAAGCTTTCTTTAGATGCAGTATGTGCTGTGTAGGCCTCTTGAATAATTTCGTTGCTTTCGAGATACTGTGGTCTTCTTTTGACAGGCTATTGATGAATAGTTCACATGTATTAATCCTTGCGTCTTGTAGAGCAGTTTTAAGTTGCCGTATTAATCTATTCTATTTACTTTTATCTACAGTATTGCGACTTCTTTGCCATAACAAGACGTTTTATAAATACGGCTATGTTGGTGTTACTTGGTCCTTTGTTATTCTGAGGGGAATGTAGCTATTTCAGCGGCTACATGTATAGTTTGGGTGCGAAGAAGCATTAAATCTTCATTAAGAGGGACTCGAACACATCCCAGCTGGTCTTTGATATTGTCAACTTAGAGATATTCGGACGTGTTTTTTGTGTTAATTTGCGTAGATAGTTGTGACAATTATGGGAGTATGAAATTCTTAGAATTTAGTGATTTATTTGATAATGTAAATATTTTTTTGTGAGGTTTACACTCTGTATACACTTTTGCTATGTACAAGTAAGTTATTTCTTATTAAACCATCATCTTCAAATAAAATAAAAAGAAAATATCTTCTACACCGGTCTAGCAACATAAAGCAAACGTATGAAATAAAAATGTTTATACGATATTCACTTTACAGAGAATCATTTAGAATTTTATGTTGCTGTTTTATGTAGGGCCTACACCAATAAGAAAAAATGTATAAAGTTTTTATTTTAATAGTGAATATTTTCCGATGCCGCTATATAGCAGCAACTTTATTGCAGAATATATTAATTCCATTTATTAACACAAAAGAGGAAACCATAAAAATAAGCTGCGTCTGCATTTTTTGCTGTGATTTAGGCAGATTTAGGACCGAACATTGAGGAAAGCGTAATAAATAGATAACGACCCACTGTTATACACTGACGCCTGCTAAAATTTGAATACCACTTAAAGTTTTTATGAGTTAGTTTATTTACAAATATATTGCATAAAACAAAATTAAATTAGATTTTATTATTATATACGAGAATTGTGAAAACAAATTAAATTTTCAATATTCTGCGAACTTGAATATAAATAATTGGAAATCATTAGCACAGCAAAGCACAGTTTATATATGATACATACAACTGATAATTTCAACGAAATGTTATGAACCAGTGACCAGAATTTTAAAATTATTTAGAAATTCTGTGTTTAAAATATTATAGTAATTTTGATAAATCAATAATTTATTAATTTACATTATATGTTCAGGTATAAAATATATTATAATTAAAAAATACGTGTTTATAATTGTTGCTTTACATTTTAATTGACTGTAGGGTAGACAGGGGGAATCCCGACACCTTAAAACGATTCAGGCAGATATCTAGCACAGTTTTATTAATTAAATATTGCCCAAGTACTTTCGCTTCCTAGAGTATCTTCAGGGGCATCTGAAATAAGTCAAGAAACTTGACTCAAAGTTAATGGATGATAAAAGTTTTTTTGGGATTAACGTTTTAGATTTTGTAGCGTTTATGCTGCTGATTAGTGCAATATTATTAGAGTTAAAAATTGTATTAATAAAACCCCTCACGAAACTTCTTGTGATCCGCCCGCGATCGATTTTTAAATCGACATTTTTCCAGACACGTCAATCAGTGAAATTTTTTCACGTTCAAAGTGACGGAATTGGAGCAAGGAAGATAATCTGGGGGAAGAATAAAATAAAAATAATAATAATAATAATAATTAATTTTTAAAATCAAGATTCATTTATAAGAGTTCCACATAAAAAGGAAGATTTTTTTTTGGCGTGCTGCGGCTCCATGTAAGTAAATCATTTCATACGTATTATATCTTTATCATATAATCAAATTTATCATTGCAGTTTAGTATTTCTTTAGAGATTTATTTTTGAGTTCCGAAATAATTTAAATTTAAAATTTCCTTGATTCACTCGCAAAGAACATAAGGTCATTTTTTATATAGTCAAACTTAAATTCTGTTTTAGTCCACGTCGTATCATTAGGGTTTTTTGTTTTCTTTTTTTTCTCTAACTTTTTTTGGTGGAATATAATAGGCTCTACAATTATTGAACAGCCTTCTGTATTCTGCGCATGTTCATTTCATGGCGCAAGCCTGTCATGTCTACGAAGTAACTTCAGAAATTTTGACATGTTAACCTAACCTAATGTTTTGATGTTTTGTTTTGGTGCAGTCAATCCATGCTGCTACACCTATTAAATTACATAGAAATTAAATCTGATAATTCTTTTAGATTCCGTCACTTGAGAGTATTCACTTAAGAATATTCCCTCAAGGATATTCGTTAGTAACAGAATTTCTTAAATAGTTAGCAACTCTCGTGGATTTTGCCGTCACTCCGAGCAGATAGACCAGTGACTGGTTTTGTGCCCAGACTCCCCTGGGATTTGTCCTTTACAGCAACAAACTGATTTAGCCGTGCCAAGAGGAGTTTTCCCATTGACTTATAGTGCTGTAAAGATAAGTTGTTTGACTGTCTAACCTTTTTGTTACTTTCTATTTAGTAGTGTACACTTTTCATATGCATATGATCAGGTGAATACATTTTTGATATAAATTCTAAAATATTGGGGAGGGAAAATACATTTCATGTTTTTATTAGGTTTTTTAAATAGGATATAAAGAGTCTGACCAAACTCACTTTTTGATATAATTTTTTTTAATACAATACATTTTGATATAATATAATTTTGATATTGGGGAGGGAAATAAATTTCATGTGGTTTTTAAAACATTATATAAGGAATATGTAACAACTCACTTTTTATCTATGATATAAATGGTACTAGATTTATCAATTTTGATATCTTTACCATACTGTCACTTGTATCTCATTCTAGTAGAACTAAGTTAAATTAAATTACTAACTTTTAGTGTTAAGACTTTGGCTACCATACGGACTATTCTAGGCTTTTACTAATATTTCATACTTTATTTGGCCAGTGGTGGTGACTATTCGCTTGTTGAGGGGCTATTCGGTCCTATTGTATCTTTACACACCCACTACCACTGTTATTTAGTTTTTGCATTATATGTAAATTGTTAATACATATATATATATATATATATATATATATATATATATATATATATATATTATATACACATTTTTATAAATATATTTATTGTTACTATTTTGAGTTTTATTTCAGTTCTACTAACCAGTATATAATATAGCAAGACAGTAGTATTTATATTTGTATTTCAGGTTATTTCCAGTCAGTCATTTGTTACTTCAAAATCTCAACTATCGTTGAGTTGGCGCCCTTCTTCTTCTTCTCTTATCGTCCTTTTTCTATAAATTTATTCCCAGTGACCTTCTTTAGTTGTATCACATTTGATATTAACAGGTCTCATTTCGTTTCTTGTCTCATTGGCTCATTATCCTTGCTATATGCTTTATATCTTTAAAGCCACAATTCAGTACATTGAAGCTAGCCCGAACACTCACTTGAGATTTAGTGTCTTTGGCCATTTAAATTTGTTCCTCTGAGCTTAGCCATATTTTTTTACCTAAAGGTAATGTTTCATCTCTTACTATAGAAGTAAGCAAATTGGAAACATCAATAAAAACTAATAAAAACTTTCTTTTATTTTAATGTTATATAAACGTTCTATTAGATCTAAAGATCTCATTAGTTTTTTTTTTTTCGCGCACCTTCATAAAATGTTCCTCTGACATTCAATGTAGCTAAATGTATCTTGTCATTTTTCGGCTTCACCTTTCTATTACTGTCATGTTTTGTTTTTTTTTTCATAGTTTGTAATCCTTTTCTTCGCATTGTTCGTCTTCAGTACTTTCAGTTTGGTCTCCACCAACAACGTTTGGTTCATGTCATCCCAGTGCCATATTATCTGATCGGAATATATTTTCTTATATCCTAATTTTACTTTTTTCCCTTTCTTTCTTAGTTCTCGCACTTTCTGTCTGACATATTTCTGTACAATTCTGTCCTTCTTTGACAGGTCATCATAGATATAAACTAGACTTTTTCTTCTGTTTCTTAATTTGCTTTTGTTTCGCATGACTTTTCTTTTTTTCTCTTCCTTTTCAAGCTCAACCAGACAGACTTTTTCTCCCAGCTTTACAACCTTCTCAGTATAGTATTTACTGTAGCTTTAAAATAGTTTGACTTTAATATTACATTGTTGCATGATATTCCATATTTGGCACCAAACATGTTTTTTTGTTTTACTCGTAGCTTCATTTTTTTTTAATATTTTTTCCGTAAAAATAGAAATAAAATTCTTATTTGACAATTATTTAACAAAAAACAAAAATTTGTGCAATAAAAGGTTAATACTTAAATAAAAATAATGAAACATTATGATTTGTGCTTACCTCGTATTAGACTGAGCGATCGCAAATCCGCTAGGATCTCTGCCATTGAGATCTTTATTAACTTTCTGGCCGCTTTGTTTAGCGGCTGTCAAGATATCGTAAGCCAATTCAGGTTGATCGTTGAAGCGTGAAGTCGTCAAAGGTCCGCCAGTTCCGTGAAATTCGGCTTCTACGAGTGTTCCGATTTCTTTGTTGTCTTCGAATCTTTTGAACACCGGAAGGACGTCTCTATAACTCCAACCCTCATTACCGGCTGCAGCCCATGAGTCGTAATCTACAAATTTCAGATTAAAAACAAAATTATTTTTGGCAAACAAAGAAGACACTATAAAAATTTTAAGATGACAAACGTAAAAGTTTTTTATAGTAACAAGGTTTATATATAGGGTTGGCCACTCAAAAAGGGTGAGGTTTGGCCACATTTATAAGATTTTGTAAAAATGCTAAAACAGGCCGATTTTTATTCTAAACAAGTCATCTTTTAACGATATAGATGTCTGTCAATTGTCAACCCACTCCTTTTCAGTACCCAGCTTTTAAATTTTAAATTGGGAATACACCACGTGTAGCACATTATTAGAACAGGCATTTCGCTGAAGAATTCAAATATCTTTATATTTTTTAATAGTTTACTAAAAGTGTTATACGTGTTAAAAACTAAATGTAATGCCCATGTTTTGCTGGTGTCAGTTCCTGATCATATCAAAAACTACATTAAGATAAAATTTGCAAAATTATTAAGAAACTTTTTTAAATGTTACATAAATAAAATGAACTAAGTTTTTAAATTAATAAATTCATAATTCCAAACAGTTTGCTCATCAGCTACAACTCTTTACTTAAATATTCAAAATGATATCTACCAACGTACTTACAATAATTACAAAGTCGCTATTTTAAATATCAAAAAAAAATTTTTTGGGGCATTCTAGGGGTTACTACACTACATTCATGCAATATTCGTGTTACAAATCTTGCTTTTTTAAAAAACCTCATATTATGTAATTTTTTTCCATTAATTTTAATATACGCGTTCTTATAGCTTAGATTTAGTTAAAAGAAATAGAGTAAATTATTTTGATTACTAAATTATATTGAAAATCGTATGAAATAAATTTTATTAGATAAACTCTCAGTAGTTTCCTATTTTGCCATTCTAGAACCTTTAAAGTTTCTGTTTCTGTTAAGGTTTAATTCCAAGAATCACTAGGAAAGTATGATAGCATCGTCAGCAAAACAAATATTTCCATGTATTTGCATTGCCGCTTGATCATTTATTTATATATTGAAAACAGTACAAGACCTAAAACATTACGTTGAACCAGTACTCAATGATTTTTTCGGCACTTACTTTGTTATAATTTTGACAATCCACGATCTATTTTTAAAATAACTTTAAAAGAGTAAGTACGGTATGCCCTTTATTTCACGATACCCCAGACACTTAACAACTGCTAATGGCTAACAGCGTCAAATGACGTAGCTATATTCAAAATATCGCTAAAGTAGGAGAACCATTTTCCAGCATCTTACATAAATATTCAGTAGCGGACACTATAGCATCAGAATATCTCTTCTTAAAATTAAGTTGTTTTTAAAACAGCAGATTAAACTTAGAAGAACGGGTACCAGCGAAATATTATCAGTGGAAGGAAAGTGTAGAAGGTCGAAGACCAAGGGAAAGATCCCCATCTCGATGGGCAGACCAAATGAAGACTCTGGTGGGAAAATTCCTATATGAAACCGTCCGTTTGGAACAGGATTGCAGCGAATGGGGAAAACAGACTAATAATTTTTGGAGTGTTAACAAGTCTTACAGGAGCACAAAAAATGAGAAGGAGAAGGTAATCTGCTCGGTTACATGTACCGGCAAAATAATAATTAAAATAGCCAATAATACAACAAACAACAACTTGGGTGATAACAACTTTATGTGGTGACTGCGCAAAAACATACATTGGTCAAAACTGATAGTACCTTCAAAAGACTCATCTTAGAACACGGCTTTCGATAACAAAAAACAGATTCTACGTACGAATTTTACCCTCTAGAGCATAACCGTTGTTTTTAATGACCAACTTCAAATCCTTTATATTCAAAATAAAAGTCAGTATTAGAATATATGGATATTATTAAAAAAAAAACACATTATAATTCTAAAAAGTAAAAGAAAATATAATAAGTTTTGTGAAATTGTAGAAAACAAAAGTGTTAAGTGATTTATTCTTAGAGAACGATTAGCAATACTGCAAACAAAGAACTTAATAACAAGCAAGTACTTCTTGCCACCACTTAATCCACTTAATCAAATCACTTTGAAATTTACCGAAAAATATTTATTTCTACTTCTTGTTAATAGTAAAGTATCAAAAAACTGTGAAATTGTAAAAACATATTATTAATTAATTAAAGGGTAAAGAGTCCTGGTTATAATAAAGGCACTAAAATAAGGATAAAATAAGCAGTGAAATTAATAAATAAAACATATTTAGTCAGATTGCCAAAAAAAGAGAAAAAAGTCATGAAGAACAAATGAAAACTTTAGAAAAGAAAATAAAAAGAATATAAAGAGTGTGTTTATATGAAAATAAGCTATAATTGATTGTAATAAAATAATATTTAAAAACAATAAGAATTTAAAATCGGTTTCAAAAATAGATTATTTTAAAAATTTTGAGAAAATTATTAATCAACAAAGTTAATAGTAGGCTATGCTTGTCAAAATTGACGGTTGACTTACTTGGCCTCTATTTTGAAAGCAATAGCTGAAGTTTAGTTTGAAAAATCTGAGGGTGGCCTCCGTACCCTCTAGATATCAAATTCTGACTTATTTGTTTGTGTATTATGCGTTTATGTAATGTATGTTTTATCTCCTAAAATTTTTCCTAAAGACAATTTATAAGAGAATCTATAAGCTGTCTGAAAGTCAAATTTCCCCAACCTGTTCTGGTTTACAATGCTGTTGGTACTAGAGAGGTTTTGTTCTTAGTACAAGTCTTATTACAGAGATGCAGGAGACGTCAACTGCGACGTATACACACATCTGGTTGATTACAAAAAAGCGTTTGATCGAGTACATCACGCCAAGATGCTGCAAATACTAAAAAAAACAGGAATTAAACAACCAAGACCTGAAAATAATTAGAAATCTTTACTGGCAACTGACAGCAAATCTTAAAGTTGAAGGTACTCTACTAATCGGTTACCGAAACTGAAAAAGGTATTCTACTAAATGGTTACCGGCTAAACAACATCAGATATTCAGATGACATCATAGGATTGCTGACAACTTAGAAGACCAAAAGTTCTAGGTAACAAAATCACGTATTCCAGTCAACAATATGGACTCAATATAAACGTTAAAAAGACAAAGCTTATGATAATTAGCAAGAAAAGGATAACAGAAGGTCAACTTTACGTAAACCAATCTCCTGTGGAATGACGCACTACAACTACCTCGGCACCGTAATAAATGAAGAATGGGCCAACAATCAGGAGAGAACAGCACGCATCGATGAAGCTAGATCCACCTTTAACCGGATGTGGGCCTTCTTTAAGAGTCACAACCTCTCTCTTAATACAAAATTAAGAATGCTACGTCTTCTCTGTCGTGAACTGACCGAGTCACAAATGGGGAACTCCTCAGAAGAATAAATAATAACCACGAGGTACTGACCACCATCACATCTCAAAAGTTACAATTCTTCGGACATGCAAGGAAAAATATTTGAAAAATGAGGTCCAGGAAGAAGAATAAGATCTTGGTTAAAGAACATCAGAATCTGGTTCAAATAAAACATCTTTGCAGCTTTTCCACACTGCTGCAGATAAGATAACGATTGCCATGATGATCGCCAATATTTGTAACGGATAGGCACATCAGAAAGAAGAAATTTGTATTTGTATAGTTATATGTTTGTGTCTTGTGTGTTGCATATGTATTGTGCATAATTGTAGATAATGTGTCTCCAATTTCAGTAATGGCAACCAATTTCAGTAATAGCTAGATCCACCTTTAACCGGATGTGGGCCTTCTTCAAGAGTCACAACCTCTTTCTTAATACAAAAGTAAGAATGCTACGTCTTCTCTGTCGTGAACTGACCGAGTCACAAATGGGGAGCTCCTCAGAAGAATAAATAATAACCAAGAGGTACTGACCACCATCACATCTCAAAAGTTACAATTCTTCGGACATGCAAGAAAAAATATTTGAAAAATGAGGTCCAGGAAGAAGAATAACATCTTGGTTAAAGAACATCAGAATCTGGTTCAATAAAACATCTTTGCAGCTTTTCTACACTGCTGCAGATGAGATAACGATTGCCATGATGATCGCCAATATTTGTAACGGATAGGCACATCAGAAAGAAGAAATTTGTATTTGTATAGTTATATATTTGTGTCTTGTGTGTTATGCATATGTATTGTGCATAATTGTAGATAATGTGTCTCCAAATTTCAGTAATGGCAACCAAAGCCTGCTACATTCAGCTAAAGGATTTGCTACACATTTTTCTTCATTACGTAGAATAAGAGCTGTTTCTTTGAATTTATTATTTTTCATCTTCATCATTTTGCATCTTTTCACTTTGTGTTCGTTATCTCAGACATTTTTGCATATCTACGATTTGTCGTTTTTCTAAGTTTTTCTTTTTGATGTATGTTTAATGCTTATTTTTTTAATCTGGCACTTAGTGGTCTTTCGGTTTCTCTCGCATAACATATTTAATCATGCACAATGATATAAATAAATGGGACTCTAAATGAGGAACACAATACTAAAAATTGCGACGAAGTGATGAATTAACTGCAGGATGCTGGAATGGTCTCAATAAGCTAACATCTGGTAGAATAAAAGACGATACTTATTTCATGATGAGGCAAAAAACATAAAATGACCGCATATAAACTTATGTATCACAAAAGATAAACTAGGAAGAGCAGACAAGGAAACAAACAAGCAAAAATCGAAAAAAATTAAGAAATGTGTTTTTCCTTAATTAAAAAGTCGAAATTAATAAATATAATCGATAGAAGATATTGATTTTAAAATATAAAAATGTGCTCATATATTTTTTTTCTGTCACTTAATTTATGATTTTAAAACATGCTCCTCGATTTGTATATTAAAACTAGATGTTAACGATAAAAAAATGTATTATCAACAGTCAGTATGTATATCTAATATATTACTTAAAAAAAAAATAACCCTATAAAAGTCTAGTTGTTATCATATTTGAATATACTAAAGGAACTAATTAACCTCAATTTGT